GGAGCTGAAAGAGCCGTCCTGAGTCTGGTCTTGCTGTACCACTGCATTGCAGGACTCTGAGCTCCACCTGTGTGACTGTGCACAGAAATTCCTCAGCACAGAGGATTTGGAGGAGGCTCTGGCACTGCCTCCCCACGTTCTGGCTTTCCTGGGCTTTGGCTGTGCCTTTGATGGGTCGTTAAACTAACGGCGACACCTCCCAAAAGTGCATGTGGCAAGAGGAGAGCCCAGAGCAGGGTGTTATCCAATCCAATCCAGCTTTTCCTCTTTAATTTCCTTTTTTCTTTCCCTAGCCTAGCTTGTGTGGGACACTGGAGCCGTTATGGTGTCAGCAGAGGTGTTTGCCCTTTAAAGACACCCCCTAATTTTTGGCGGAGCACGGCGCGTCTGAAGGGCAGGACGGCTGACCCAAGGACAACATCCTCTGCCCCTTAGGAGGTACTGATGTTTTGTGCTTCACTACTTGCCATGACCAATCAAGCTGCTCTAGACCAGGCTGTCTCTGCAGGTGAACCACAAAATGCCACTGGTGGTGGAGTTAAACTCAGCAGCATCCTCTGCTCACCAGAGTTCAGAAAGATCTGGAGAACGTTTTTATTGGGAAAAAAACCGAGGGCTGCTTCCTCCCTGCATGCTTCTGAGCTTGACTCCACGTGGCTTTGTTGTTCACCTCCTGAAGGTTGTGGAGATACGAGTCCTTTAAGGACTCTTGTTTGTGGAAATGACTCAGAGTTGAAGTAGAGGGTCTTATATCAGATGTAGTTTTAATTTTTGAGCCCCTGTGTTGTGGGCTGGCTCTGGCTTTGTTTCGCTGGGATCACTCTATCCTGGAGTGAAATCAAATGTGTGCTGTGCCCCACAGCCTAGTCAGGCCTTCTCTCTTCAGGAGAGACTGTGTGTGGATCACAGGGAGTTCTCTTCACCCACACTGTTCCTTCTTTTCCTGCTGACACTGGTGAAAGATCAGACCAGCTGTGCTGGGCTGGCATCTGTCTTGTGGAAACACTTTGAGGGATGGCTGGACTCACTTGCCAGGTTCTTCCCTTGGCTGTTGAATGCTGGTTGCTTCTACTGACTGCTAGGCAGGGAATGTCCCTCCCTCCCAGTTCCATGCAGCAGTTCTGCTGAGGCTGTGAGTGCTGAGTGCTGGGGTGGAGCCTGTGTCCCACCCAGTGATAACCAGGGGAAGTGGAGGACTCTGGTGTGTGTGTGGGGGAGGGCAGTGCTGGTGACCTCTGAGGCTGTTGGAGGCTGTTTTCTCCTTTGCTTTTAAAACAGGACAGGAGGTTGGCCAGGCTGTGCTGTCCTGGCAGTGGTTTTGTGTCTGAGCAATGACAGGCAGTGCCTGGTGATGTCAAAGTTTGACACTACAGTGGCTTCAGAATTTTCTCATCCATCACTTCACAGCTCGTGTCCTGAGCTTTGCATTTCCTTTTGGATCCTTTCCTTCTTGATCCTTACTTTGTTTTCAGTTGTTCCTGGCTTTAATCTTGTTTGGAGCCCAGTTTAATGGGAGTTCTGGTGGGTGGAGGGAATGGGTGAATCTGCACCACTCATCCCCTGCCTTAGGAAAGGGATAAACGGCACAACTGGATTGTTCTGTTTGGCACATCAGTGGGCTACCAACCTCCCTGCATGAGGAGTTGGCCAACTTGAAACTGGGAGATCTAAACTGCTGAGATGGTTCTTTGAACATAATTAATTTGAATAAACGGCTCCTAATTGTTCTTATATAATTGTGTTTGTAATTGGAAGCCTTTATGCTCTGCTAAAACTTATTTAAAGTGGTGCCTCTAAGGGTTTCATAATTTTGTGTGTTTCTTTTTTTCCACCTCAGTGTCTGCTTTTCTGGTGCAAAAAGATTGTAGGGAACAGACAAGAAGCAATGTGGGAATTCAACTTCAAGTTCAAAAAGCAGGTATGAAAGAAGAACTAGATTGGCAGTGACTTTTGTTTGAAGCAGAAATGATTTTTCTAGATGGTAAAAGGGAAGGTGGAAACTTTTTATACCTTCAGACAATAAATGGAAACTCTGATTCCCATGGTAAACTAAAACACATTCTGAAACTACACTCAGTTTTCTGTCTGTGCTGCCAAGACATTTAGAATCCCACATTCTTTGTGGGATACCTCCTTCTGATGTGGATCATTTGTTACCCCAAATAATCTCATCTTTGGGTCTAATTGCTGCTCAAACCCAACTGTTTGACTGTATTGATCAAAATGTTGACCAAAAACCTGAAACTTCCTGTTTTACCATCTCAAAGATTTCTCAGAGGAATAAAGCAAGGGAAAACCTCCATCAGTGAGTCTTGGGAGAAGCCAGTAGTTTCAGGCAGCCTTGGGAATTCTGCAGCTTTCCCCTCTAAAGAAATAGTCCTGCCTGTCCTGAGCGAAGGCTTCTTGTTGTTTTTGGAACACGTTGCCCAAAACACATGGGGAGATGGTGAGAACCTACTTAGCTAAATCAGTGCCTCTTTCTTTCCAAGTCCCCCAGATTGAAGAGCAAGTGTTGCAAAGGTCTCCAGCCCCCCATCCAGTATGAGGAAGTGCACACAAACCCGGATCAGGATTGCTGCCTGCTGCAGATCACCACCTTCAACTTCATCTTCGTGCCAATTGTCATGGGCATGACGTTTACCTTGGTGAGTGGGGGAAAAGCTGCCAGGCAAGCTCTGCAGGTGAGGTTTCTGTAAGGAGGGCACCTAAAATCACAGAACCTCTTGAGCTGGAAGGGACCCACGAGGAGCATCGAGTCCCAGCTCCTGGCCTTGCACAGGACAACCCTAGGAATCCCACCCAGTGCCTCTTTGGGGCTGTGTAAATCCCACTGCTCCATCAGCAAACCAGTTTTAGGAATCTTATGAACAGGAAGTGCTGAGGGTCTGAGTTTAACTTCTCCATTTCCATCAGCTCTTCCCTATTTGGTGCAGTAAATACAGAGTAAATACAGAGGATACAGAGAATCTGCAGGGAGCTGTGGCTGTGCAGTTTGGGGGCTGATGAGTTACCAGAACTGCAGCAGGTACAAGAGGGAGGAAGTAGAAGTGCAGGTCTGCCTTCCTCAAGAAAATATCTCCTTATTGGCAATAAATTCCGAGAGGAAAATCCCATCTGACCAAACTCTTTGAATGTGTGTTTGATCCTTGGTGGGAGGAAGGGCAGCTTTGGAACAAACCCCCCAAAGCTGGGCTCCAGAGAGCAGCAAATAAGAGTGTTTGGGCAGCTCTGTGATGAACAAGGGGCAGCACAAGGGGCTGTGCTTGTGAGTCAGTAGTGGCCTGTGCCCAGGAGAGGTTCGGTCTGGCTTCACTTAGGAGTAGGGCAGTGAGTTCCAGACTTCCCCTGACAGCCATTTGCTTCTGAGTTCACTTAAAATGACACTCATAAAATTGTTCGTGTTGGAAAAGACCTTCCAGACCTTCGAGTCCAACCATTCCCCAGCACTGCCACATTCGCCCCTAAACCACGTCCCCAGGTGCCACATCCACCTCCCTTCCAGGGATGGCGACTCCACCACTGCCCTGGGCAGCCTGTCCCAGTGTTTTACAACCCTTTTACAACCCTTACAACTCAGAGCATTTTTATTTGGGGTTGCCAGGCAGTGCTGTAAACTCAGAGTGTAACTCTGTGCTGGTTTAAAGGGAAAGCAGCAGAGAAACAAACCCAACTCAAGAGAGATCACAAGTCACAGTTACAATTTCCTAAAATGATTGCAATAAATACAATGACACGGACAAAACTGGTTTTAACCCCCAAGGACAGATGTATAACCCAGCACCCTGGGACAGGAACAGAGCAGTGTTGGTGGGCCCCTGTGCTGAGCTCCACGTGGCCCCCCGGGGGCAAAGTCAAAGGAAAGGAAAGCTGTTGGTCAGGATGATGGTCACAGCTGTGTTGAAGTTCCGGTCCTCCTCTGGACCCACAAGTGGTCCCAGAAGAGCCCAGAGCCGTGGATTATGTGTGCTCAGGTTCAGGGGGGAATGCCCAGTACCTCCCCCAGGGAGGGGAGTTCCACAGGGGTGATTTACCTCTGTGAGCCATGGGATGTTTTTGGAACCTCTGATGGTCTGGGTGGTTGCAGCTGCCCCTTATGCCAGTCCAAGGTGTCCCATTAGCAGAGATGACCCCTCAGGCTGGGGGTGAAGGTGCTGATGCCTCCCTGGAGGGGAGTTACCACAGCTGAGTCACTGGTGTGAAGACAAAGAAACACTGCCCTGCCTGGCAGGGCTCTGAGAGCCTGAGGTGTCTGAAATACTTCAGACTTGGACAGTCCAGGAGAATTCCCAAAAATCCAGAAGTGCTGTGTTCAGAACTCTTTTTGTTGATTTTCCTGAAGCACGTCCTGGTCTCTCCTCTCTTGCAGTTCACCATCAACGTGAGCACCGACATGCGGCACCACCGCGTGCGCCTCGTGTTCCAGGACACCCCCGTCCGCAACGGGAAGAAGCCCCGCCTGGAGCAGGGGGTGCAGGTGGTGCTGGACCCCGTGCACAGCGTGAGGCTCCTGGATTGGTGGCACCCACAGTACCCCTTCTCCCCAAAAGCTTAGTGCTCTCCTGAGGCTGCAGGAACCGGCAGGTGACTGAATCTGGCAGGCTGAAGAGAATTTCTAGGAACCAGGAAAATCCTATTTTTATTTCTTAAATAAATTCTGCAGTCCTCCCTTGCGAATGGTTGAAGCTGCTGAGCTAGTTTTTATGTATATAACTTCTGGTCAGTAATGGGCAGAGCTGAGTGTAAAGCAGAAACTATTTGTAAACACACTTTTATGTAAAATTGACATTTTATGATTTGAAAGGAGCTCCCTGGAACTGTTCATTTAAAATCCTTTTGGTGCTAATCAAAGTGGTCCTGTGTTCTGTTGTTCAGGAAGAAGCAGGAGGTTTTGCTTTCCAAGAACTTTCCAGTTTGCTTTCCAGAAACAATTTACAAACAAAATCCACCTTTGTTTTACTGCAGCAGGATGGTGTTCACCCTCAGTGTGATATTTGAGTGCCTGAGAAGCAGTGAGCAAAGCAGAAGTGATCAACCATAACATTACTTCCCAGCCCAACAGATCCAAGTTTCAGGAAAGAAAAAGGCATAAATGATCAAACAAAGGAATTATTTCAAAGAGGAGTCGTAAGGAAAAGTCTCTCTTGAATGTAAAGGTACTCCAAGTTCTCACGCTGCTGTTTTGTCTTTGAAAAGAAGATCTAAACTTTTAAAACCAGAAGGTGCTTTTCAGAGAAGATAAACAGGGAGGGAGAGGAGTTGGAGGGGATAAGCTAAAATAACCAAAGCAGTGATGAAGGACTCAATCCAGTGTGGTTTCTAAGAGCAGTGTGGAAATCCTGGCTGTTGAAAGCCCACAGGCAATCGCTGATCTGGCTTTTGACTAAACTGATTCATTTCTGTGAGGAAGAAGTGACCCTGAAACTTTCTGTGGCTCTGGGCTGACTGAGACAAGAGAGGGACCTGTCAGGAGGACAGGATGGATCCAGGATGGATGTGGCTGGAGATTGGATGTGGCTGGATATGGGGCTTGGTGGAGGAGTGGTACAGGCAGAGGAGGGGCTGCAGTGCAGGTGCAAATGAGGAGGAGTGACTGAAGTGGGGTGAGGAGCAGGGCACTGAATTCTGCTGCCTATCCATGATCAGCTCCTCAGTCCTGGTGCACATCAGACCTTGTCCCAAGCAGGAGTAACAGCACTTTTCCATATGTGATGTTTAGTGAAGCACCTGGAAGGAGAGGGAGTTGTGCCAGCTCAGTTTGGACTCAATCCTGTGGGTCCCTTCCAACTCAGAATACTCTGGAATTCCGTGGTCCCCCATGACCCTGGTATAGCAGCCTGTGAGGAGTTCCTGCAGCTCTGTAAATCACCACCAAGGACTTCTGCCCCAGACTTGGATCTGTGTTAGAGGCTCTTGCTGTTGACTTCAAACACACACTTTTGGGACAGCACTTGCCTCACAGTCCCCTTCTCACTGCTGCTGAACACCTGGTGATGCCCAGCAGGTAAGTTTTGGAACCAGATTGGTTGGAGCAGAGGGTAAGAGAAAGGTGCTGTCCCTGTGATTCTGCAGCTGCCCTGGCAGCAGAGCTGTGGGGCAGGAGGGGCAGTGCCAGAGCTGTGTGGGGGCTCCATCCCTGTGCCAGGAGGAAGCTGCTCTGGGGCAGTGGGGGACAACAATCCTGTTTTGCCATGGGGTTAAATAGCCCTGAGCTCTGGGACAAGTGCTCAGGGGGTGGAGGTCAGAGAGTGAAATGTGGTGAGGCTGCACAGTTCCCTGTTGTCCTGGAGGGAGCCAAGAGTTCTGACTGTGCTTCCAGGTGTTTTCTGCTGCATTCCCTGGAAACTCAGTTTTGCCTGGTGGTTGCTGCGTGTGCAGGGGTCTGGGGGTTGGGGGCAGAGGGGTTTGGTTCCCAGATCAGGCTGTGTAAAGCTCTTGCCCTCGCCCTGGACAGCTTCTCTGGCTGAGTGGAGATGGGAACGGCAGCCTGGGCTTTGTTCTTGCTTCTGTGCAGAAACACAGAACAGATCCCGGGGCTGGGAGTTGCTGCCATCTGTGGAAGCAGGGCTGTGTTCTAACCAGGAGTGTGGCGTGCCCAGGACGTGCTCTGTTCTGGGGCAGAGCCACCCAGCAGCACCCACCTCAGTAAATGCCTGGGCTGGCCCCAGGTGGTGCCGGAGCGGGTGGCGCCAGCCAGAATAGCAGGAAGGAGGTGGACAGGATGTTTCCTGCTACCAACAGACTTGCTGGGTCCAAATACAGATACTTAAATAGAGACAGAGGTGTCTCTGCCACACCAACCTTTTTCTAGGCTGAAATGTGTAAAATGTGGAAGGAGGATTTTCCCTCTTTTCCTGTACGAACCTTCCGGTGATTGTGGTGCTGTTCATCAGGGCTGGTAGGTGTCAGGGACCTGTCCTGATCCACGTGGGGAGGCTGGGGAGATGTCAGGGGTGCTGTGCAGGTTGGGCTCTGCTTGCCTACGTGTAGAGCTGCAGGCTGTGGCTGTTCCTGCCTTCCCTGCAGCAGCAGAACCTGATGCTGAGGTTTGCTCGGTGATGTGAGTGATGCTTGGCCAGATCTCAGCCCTGAGCAGGGGGTTTCCACCCCTGGCCCCCAGGCCCAGCCTCTCTCAGAGCCTACTTGCCAAAAAACTCCACTCTGGTGTTCTCCAGGGGTGGGTTTCAGCGAGCCTGTGCACAGACAGGAGAGGCTGTGGTTTGGTGTGGCAGCCACCCATTTCTGCAGGACATGGCTCAGAGGGGTCCCTGGTGGTGTGCAAATAGAGCCCCACATCAGCATCGTGGTGACTGGAGCCCCAGTCCTCCCCCTCCCCCTGTTCTACCTCCCCTTTGTCCTGCTTGGGCTCCTGAATAATGGAAGGGCTGTAACTTATCCGGCCTGGCTCTCTGGTTTCCCAAGGGACACACGGAGGCTTGGCCACCACCCTGGCCTCCCCCTGCTCCCCTCCTTGTCAGGGATCTGGTGTCCAGCAGGAGATGAGCTGGGTAAGCTGAGGGCTGGGTGCCTGGGCCCTGCTGTGGGTCCCCTTGTGCCTGTCCCACCCCAGTGCTTGGCTCCAGGGAACTGCTCCTCCCCTGAGCTGGGCTGTGCACAGCCTGCACAGCCACAGCCTTTGCACCTGGGCCTTCTCCTTCCTTCTCCAGCTCATTCCAAAAACAAGCAAAGATGTGCCTTTTAGCCTCATTTCAGCCACCTCCCTGTTCCCCCAGGGCAAATATTTCAGCGAGCAGAGCACGTTTGGGTTGTGGGCCAGTGGGGGGTTGTGAGTGGCTCTGAGTGCTGGGCCATGGTTGTGCCCAGGTGCTGTGCTGTGCCCCTCACAGGAGAGAGGGGTGCAAGAGCCTTTTTCCAGCACCACAAACACCGTTTGGGATTTGTCCCATAGCACAAGGGGGTGACTGGCTCAGGCTGGGCTTGTGGGACCTTCTTGGAGGGCGAGAGGACCCAGGACCACACTGCCTGGGCCCTGGGGGCTGTGTCCTGGCTGTGCATTCCTCTGCTGCTCCAGGCAGGCTGGATGTGCCTGGGGAGGGTCAAATCCTGCCACTGCACTCTGAAGTGGCATGAGGGGATGAAAGGGGGGTTTGGTGGCTCTGCTGCAGAGCTGGGTGTTCCCCACATTCCTATGGCAGGGGCCTGTTGCACCCTTGAGCACTGGGGACCTCAAGGCTGTTTTGGGCACCCCGGGGCTGTGTCAGGGACCCCAGGGCCGTGCTGGGGACACAGTGCTGTTTTGGGGGCCCCAGGGCTGTGCTGGGGACGGGACCCCCGGGTGGTGCTGAGCCCTACAGCCCCACCACCCTCCCCTTCCTTCCCACAAGGACAGGAAGGGCCCAACCCTGTTATTTCCTGCACAGGGATGGGAGTCATGGGACACCTGTGGTGAGAAAAGCCCTCCCCCTCCTGCAGCTGCTGCCATTGGAGCCACTCAGTCCCATGTCCCTTCCTTCCCAGGGCCACTGAACATCAAACCTCTGCTGAGTTGCACCAGACTGGCTCCCTTGGCCTTCCTGGCGTCTTCCAGCCCCTGCCCTGGTGGGAACACCGGACTGTCCTTGCTCCAGCGCAGGTGGGGGGTCCCCACTGAGCCCCCCCGTGGGGACAGAGCCACTGGTATCGCACGATGGGAGGATTTTAAAACCAAACCGGGGGGAAAGCGGATCCAGGAGCCTGTGAACTTTCCTCCCTCTCCTTCCCAGTGCCATCACCCACTTCCTGCCCTGCAGTCTCTCTCTGTGGCCACCTTTGTCCTGGCAGAAGAGCCCCAGGCCACCGTTTCCATGTGAGGAGCCAGGGCTGGAAGTCACCACAACGTGAGGGGATTTGTGGAAGACGGAGCCTTGGAAGAGACGTGGGGCCTTCCTGAAGGTAGGAGAGGTCCAGGCCAGAAAGGAGAGAAGGCAAATGGGATCCAGGCCTATGTGTGAACAAATGGGGAGGGTGGGAAGGAGGGGCAGGGAAGGTGCTTTCTCTCGGTTTGGGTGCTGTGGGTGAGTGGCTGTGTTGGAAGGACCTGGGCTGGTTCTGACCTGGGGACAAGTGATGCCATCAGGCTCCAGAGCCATGTTCCTGCTGTGGATCCAGAGGAGGGAAACAGTGGGAGATAAGCAAAACCTGGAGGATGGAGAAGCTGAGAACAAACTGGGCTGTGGAAGGGCCCTTACTTTGGCTCATGGGGATTAGAAGGGGCTTCAGTCCCAGCCCAGCGGTCATGTCCAATGCTCCAGGGGCACCTGGGGTGTGTGGGGAAGCCGTGGTGTCCCAGGGGTGCATCCTGGGTGGGATCCAGGCAGTCAGCTCTGCCCTGGGGTGCCAGGGGGTTCAATTCTGGCTCAGCAGCCCCAGAGGTTTTTGCCATCTCAGCACAAGAGCTGAAAAACAAACAGGCAAAGAGCTGTGCCAGCTCCGTGTCCAGCCCAGCTCGGTGTACTGCGTGTTTCCACCAAAGTGCCAGGTTTGAGCTGGAGTTTGGGATGCTGAGGCTTGGCAAGAGCCCTCAGAGGGGGTTGATGCTGCCAGTGGAGATGGGGGTGGTGGGATACAGCCAGTGCCATCGTGGGATGTCTGTCCTGAGGCTGCTACCGTTCCCACACTGGGGCCGGGGCCCTTGGCCCATCCCACCGGGGTCCCCGCCGGCCTGGCCGGTTCCCGAGGCTCCAGCCGATGCTCCTCCTCTGCGGGAGGCAGGCGAGGGCTCGGGGTGGGGCTTTGCCGAGCGAGAATCCAGAGTCTGGCCAGCCTGGGGAAGTTGCCAGGGCCGAGCACCCCGGAGACAGCGAGGCTGCCGCTCGTCCTGCCAGGCTGCCACCCCTCTGTAAGTCTCTGCCGCCTCGGGGGGCACAGCCGGAGCGGTTCTGGGCAGGAGCCAGCTCTGGTGACATGGGAAGGGCTGCCTGAAGGGGGTGAGGGATCAGAGAGGAGCCAGGTGTCCCCTTAGCAAGCTGCCTATGCTGTGGGGCTGTGGGACACCTGTGCTGACCAAAAGCTTTGCCTCCTGGAGTTGTGTGCTACCGAAACACGGCATTTCCCCTCCTTGCCCCCTGTGGAACCACCCTTGGAGCAGAGGCACCCGCAGCTTGTGGGGCTGGACCCCGGGCTGGCTCCCAGGAGCCCCAGATGGTGGCAATTTGCCCGTCGGGGACATTGTGCTGCCACAATTTGCCGTGTCCGCCCCTCACCTTCTGGCTCTGGGTTACCCCCTGTCCCTCTCCATTCTGGGGACCCTCCCAGGGAGGTGGGGAGGGGCACTGACCTGTGCTGCAGGTGACCTGGTGTTCATGCCTCTGGGTGATGCAGCTTTTATCCTTTATCTGTGCCTCAGTTTCCCCCAGCGTGGCACTGCTGGCAGTGGGACAGGGAGCCCTGGCTATTCCCTCCTCCCTGTGCCACCAGCCCTGCTCTCCCAGTGCCAGCGGAAGCAGCTGGAGCCGCCTGCCCACGGGATCATCCAGCCCTTCCTCACAGGCTCGTGGGGCCAGGCCGTGAGTGCCCTCAGTCCCTTCCTCTCCCTGGACTGAGTCCACGGCTGCTCCGGTACATGGCCCCTTTGGCTCCACAGTCTCCCGGCAAGGTGGAGGAGTTTGGCTCCAGGCGAGCAGCCAGCTCCTCCTGGCCAGTGTCCCCACAGCAGGGTGGCTTTTGGGGACCAGGGGGGTGCTGAGCTGTGGGGAAGGTGTGTGAGGTGCTGGGACAGGAGTAGGGACAGGGATGCTTCCTGGAGTCACCCCACCCCCGTGGGGTGTCCCATCTAGCTGGGCTTCTTTGTTTCTCTATGGAAGTAAAAATCCAAAGCCCAGTTAGGGGGCCAGTTATGGGGCAGAGCTCGTTACCTTCTGCCCTGCTGGAGCTGCCTGTTCCCCGTGGGCTCCCTTCAGGGAGCTGCTGCCTGTGGGAGCTGGAGGTGCTGAGCAGCACCTTGTTTTTCCATGCAGGATGGGCCGTTGGCAGCCAGACAATCCCCAGCAGCCAGAAGAACCTTTGGCCACCCAGAGTAACCAACGCCCAGCCCTTGCCACCCGCCAAGCCTTGCCCTTCCCAGCTCAGATCCCAGAGTTCCGGCCTTGGAAATCTACCTCCAGGGTGGCCTCAGGGCATGATGTCCCTGTGGCTCAGATGGGTCCCTAGCACTGCCCCCCATAAACTGGTGAGCTCCCCATGTCCCAGAGCTGTGGGGAAAGGAGAGGCTTCGCTCCCCTGCTCTCTGCACAGAGATTTTAAGCAGCTCCAGGAGCTTGTTCCTCCCAGTGCTCCAGTAAGCTCGCCCATGGCTGAGTTCCAACCCAGAGGAGGAGGCTCTTCTGCTCTCCCTGGCCATGATGGGCTGATGGGCTGTGATGGGCTGTGATGGGCTGTATTGCGCTGTACTGCGCTGTGCTGCCACCGGGGCTCCCTGGGGAGCGGCTTCCCGGCTCCAAGTGTTTATCTCCGTGTTCCTGGGAGGGCGAGGGCAGTGGCACAAGGACAGGCTGCCTGTGGCATCGGGGGCACCTGCCTGGAGAGGTGCTGACAGCCCCCCAGGGGACTCCTGGGCAGGAAAACTGGGGAGGTTCTCCTTAAAATAAGCCCAGCACATGCTGGGGCAGTGCCAGAGAGGTGCTGCATTGCTGCCTGGGGCCTGTGGGTGGGCTGGGAGCATCCCAGTGGATACAGGGAGGTATTCAGGGAGAAGTCCTGGGAAGCCCAGTCTTGGTTTGTGAAGGTTTAGGAGGGTTTTTCCTCCACATTTGCACTCAAAGATGCTTTTGAGCAAGACAAACTGAGGTGCTGTGAGTGGATGGGGCTGAGTGTGTCTGCCCTGCCAGGATGGGCACTGGGTGGGTCTGCAGCTTCTCCTGTTTCAGGGCAGCCCCAGTCATATTTAAAATGGAAAACCACCAGGCGAACAGAGAGTCTTTTTGCCTCCTGCCACACCTCTGCCACAAGGTAAAATATCTCAAGGGCGCCATGACTTTCTCAGAGGTGACACTGTCCCCTCAGGGACACCTTTCTTTTTCTTCCAAGCAGGGGACGTGGCTGGGACGGGGCCTGCCTGGAGGCAGGAGGGGAGCAGGGCAGGCAGGAGGGGCTGGGGGAGTTGCTTCATCCTCGTGGTACTGGAAGAGCAACCTGGGCTCATTTGAGATCTGAGTGTTTCCCAGGGCTCGCTGCCAAGTCCCGAGGTGTTGATGACTGCCCTACGGGTGTCCCCGTGACCCAAAAGCCCTCCCCGAGGCACGTGGCACCTGCATTTCTTCTGTCTGCAGCTCTGGGTATGCTGTGGGGGTGTCTGAGAGCAGCCTGGGTGTTATGGGGCTGGAGGGGGGGTGGATTTTGTACCTGGCTTTTTCCTGGCTGAGTTGGGGTGTCCTGCCCCACTTGCCCCAAGGGGACTGTGCACAAGTGCCCTGTGATGCCCCATGGCTGCCCCTGGGTGTGCACCCCTGGTTGCTCTGGGCAGAGGGGTCAGTCCCAGGGGTTCAACCAGGTGCTGCCCCAGGGTTCCATCCAGGGGATGGTGGTTTTCCTTGGCTATTCCCTGATGTGCCCCTTCCTCCACAGCCCTCAGCAGTGCCAGCCCGGTGCTATGCGATTCTCCCTGAAGCGCTGCCTCACCGCTGTGCTCGCAGCTTCCTTCCTCCTCCTCCTCCTCCTCCTCCTCCTCCATGGGGGCAGCCAGCAGGAAGAGGATCCCCTGGAGGTGAGTCCCCAACCACTGATGTACCACTGGAGTGGCCACTGGAGCATCCTCCATCCTTTCCTGCCGCACACAGACCCCAACCCCAGCTCTGCTCCGTTCCCTGCACCACGTCACTCCCAAAGCCCAGCTCTGCCTTCTCCTGTCCCAGGAGTTGTCCTGGGCAGTGGGGCCTCCCTGAATCCAGGAGCTTGGAGGGCAGGACAGGGGTTCCCCCTCACTTCTGGGACCCCTGTTGTCATTCCCCTTGCTCCTGTGTGTCTGTGGTGCTCTGGAGTCTGACCTGGCTCCCTGTGGCTCCCACCCAGGTGGATCTGAGGGGCTTGGCCCCCGACACAATCCTGCAGGTGCTGCAGCCAGAAGGAGCCCAGCGCATCCTCAGGGACACGGACGAGCTCTCCACACTCCACAATGTCTCCTACCATGTCCTGGCTGGCTCCCTGTCACCCCGAAAGAGTGAGTGCTTGGGACCCCGGCCTGAGCAGGGCTCTGGGTCTGCACATCTGTCCCAGTACAGCTGCACGTCCCAGCATGGACCTGCCCTGTCGCTGTTGCTGCCGGGGCAGGGAGGGGCTTTGTCCACCCTGTTGGGGTGGGGGACCTGCCACCACCCAGGTGGGCTCTGGGGACCTGCCAACACTGCTCTGGGGGCTGCAGGGGTAGGGGAAGGTCCACGTGCTCCAAGCATGGTCCGTGTTTCTGCACCTTGGCACTGGGGTGACTGCAGGTGTTTTGAGTTTCCCAGACCTCTGTGGGAAGGGTGGCTGGGATCCCACCTCCCTGGGGTTGAGGTTCCTGTGGAGGTGGTGGACTGGACCATGGGGATACCCACACAGTGTGGGAGATGTGGGCCAAGCTCTTGGCAGGTGCACTAAAAGCAGCTCCCACGCAAACCCCAGGGGAAGGAGCTCGGGGCAGCCCCACACGAGGTTGTGCTGGAACCAGCATGTGGATGGTGCTGCACAGAGCAGCAGCAGGAGCAGCTGAACCCCTGCGGGGCCGTGGGGAGGGTGGGACTGATGTCTCATCCAGTGCGGGGCATCTCCACAAGGTTCAGAGTAGGGCACACTTCCAGGATGTGCAGCCAAGCCAACGTGCCATTCCTGCCCTGTAGACTCTGCACTGTTACTTCTCCAAGTTTGGCTTTTTATTTTAAGGTGTTTTTCCCAAGTATTTCTCCTTCAGAGGAGCCCCTGCTGCCTCATCCCATCCTTTCCCTCACATTTGGGCCCCTTCTGGGACACGGGGGGGCTTCAGCTCAGAAAGGACCCTGTGGCCCTGGACCCGGGGTTATAAACAGCATTAACCATGCGGGGTGGCCATGGGAAGAACTTTTTGGAGCCCCCTCCTCGTGGCCTGCAGGGAAGAACCTCCCCACGGTGCATTCCATGTCACGCCTTTCCTTTGCCGTGCAGAATTCCTGGCGGTGGGATTGGCGTCAGTGCGGCGGCCGCGTGGCTTCTACCTCCCTGCCACACTGCAGTCCCTGTTCAGCCAGTCCACAGAGGAGGAGCTGCAGGAGATGGTGGTGGTGGTGCACCTGGCCGACACAGATCCCGGCTGGAACGCGCGTGTCGCCCTCAGCATCGCCCAGAAGTTCGCTCGCCACATCCTCCTGGGCCGGCTGCTGCTCATCCACGCCCCCCACGAGCTCTACCCCACCCTGGAAGGGCTCAAGAGGAACTTCAACGACCCCGAAGAGCGGGTGAGGTTCCGCTCCAAGCAGAACGTGGACTACGCCTTCCTGCTCGCCTTCGCCGCCAACCTCTCCTCCTACTACCTGATGATCGAGGATGACGTGTGGTGTGCCAGGTCCTTCCTGACGGCCATCCGCAAGGCTCTGGCCTCCCAGGAGGGCTCCAACTGGGCCACCCTGGAGTTCTCCAAGCTGGGCTACATTGGGAAGCTCTACCACTCCAGCGATCTCCCTCGCCTGGCTCGTTTCCTCCTCCTCTTCTACCAGGAGATGCCCTGTGACTGGCTGCTGGTGCACTTCCGCAACCTGCTCACCCAGAAGGACGTCATCCGTTTCAAGCCGTCCCTCTTCCAGCACATGGGCCTCTACTCCTCCTTCCAGGGCACCGTCAACCGGCTGGAAGATGACGATTTCCAGGCCGACGCCTTGGACCTTCCGGACAACCCTCCAGCATCCTTGTACACCAGCATGGCCGTCTTCGAGCACTACAAGCCCCTCAAGGCCTACAGCTCAGCAGAGGGGTATTTCTGGGGGAAGGACCCAGCAGCTGGCAGCGTCTTCTTGGTCGTGTTCCAGCAGCCGGCCCAGGTCAGCCGTGTGCGGGTGCTCACGGGCTCCGAGGAGCGCCGGGGTGACTTCCTGCGCGCGGGGGTGCTGGAGCTGGGCCGGCGGCGCCGCCGAGACGGCCGGGACTGCTCCACCTACATCCCAGTGGGAACCTTCGAGAAGGGCACCCTGGACCGGCGGGGGCTGGAGAGGAGCATCTCTGGCCCCGTGGAATGTGTGAGGATCCGGGTAACCCAGGCCCAGAGCGAGTGGCTCATCATCCAGAGCATCGACATCTGGACCACAGCAGGCACCTGAGACAGCTGTCAAAGCACAGCTGGGTTTTGTTCAAAGAGGTCCTTTATTTTTCTCATTTCCTTTTTTTTATAAGGAATTAAATTATTGACTCCTGCTGGCATTTGCCAAGGGATGGGAACCACTGCTGTGGGATGTGGATGGGGCCAGGAGCAGGGCCCGCCAGGGTGTGCCCACCTGGGGGATGCCCCAGTGAGAAGTGGAGGGGGTACAGGGAGGGGAAGAGGCTGGACAGCAGAAAACATTTCCTCCCATGGAGGATGATGTACAGGACGAAGCTGATCAATTAATTAACAAATCAAGTAACTAATCAGGCATTTGGCATTTTTTGCAGCCTCTCCACGTCGTCCCTTCCTTAAGTTTTCTAACTCACCCAAACTGCATTCTTTTCCTCCCCTCCTATCCCATTTCCGAGCTGCTCCTGGGAGGGGTCAAGGGAAGGTCTGGGGCTGCTGCTTACCAACCCCCTGACTGGTGGTGCTGATCTGCTGATCGGGGTGGGCGGTGGCCACCAGATGGACCCATCGGGCCGGCTCAGCCTCTCACCAGCTCCTTGTTCCCCCCTCGAGGGAGGGAAGAAATCAGTTCCCAGGGACCACACCCTGTGACCATGAGGGATTCCCACCTGGAGGGAAGGACAGATGGGATTTCTACAAGGGGGAGAAAGGTCTAGAACTGAGCTCCAGGGAACAAGGACAGCTCAAGGAAAATGTGACCTCAGTATAACGTGGAGCTCAGAGTCCTTTTCAGCCCAGTGAGGTGCTGGAGGGGAACTGGGGAACACACAGGCCCCCAGAAGCTTCTGGTTGGGTTGTCTGGCAGGGTCATAATCATGGTCACAGACTGGACTGGATGATATCAGAGGGTCTTTTCCAACCCAGGGACACACCTGCAGTGCCCAAACACCTGAGTGCCATAACCACAGCTCTGGCTTGAGTGGCATCAACTCACCTGCTGGGCACTGGAGAGCCCCAGGCCTGGCATGAGGGGACTTTTTCCCTGAAAAAAAGCCACCCAGGTAGTGGATCTTTGTCTGCATTTAATACAGAGATGCTACACGATGACCTCCAGCACCTCCTGATGTTCCAAATGCTCTCAGCGTGCACATCACAGAATCACTCTGGTTTCCTCCACACAGCCCAAGTCTGGCCAGAGCTCTCAGAGTGCTTTGAGTAGCACAGGTGTCCCCTCCCCAGGGCCCCAAGGCCCAGACAAGTGTTTCCAGTGCTCCAGTAGAGCCTTTGCCCTGGTTCTCTTGGACATAAATGCTCTGCCCTCACTGGGAGAGCACCAAGGGTCACCAGCATGGGTACAAATGGAAAGGTTTCTCCCCAGGAGGTTTTTACCCACTGCTAAAGAATGAAAAGACACAAATGTAAATCAGCCGTTTTTACCTGCTGGACTCTTACTGGTGCAGGAACCAATTGGTTTGTGATATTCATTGGCACACAAACAAGCTGTTGCCTCAGCTGTGCCGGTGTAAACCTGAACAGACTTCACTGGGGTATGGAAATCTCTCCATTTGCACCAGGATAAATGGAAGCAGCAGCTGGCAGGAACCTCCTCCTCTTCCTCCCAGTGCTGCACACGTGCACCACAATGCCCAGTTAACATCAGTGCATGCTGGAGGAAGAGGAGGAGGTGGCTGTTTCATCCTGGAGGAGCATCACATAATTTATCCTACATCAAAATTATCCCACTATTTTTATCCGAGGAAGACTCAGCCAGCTCCCAGCGCTCGTACTGAGATCCCTGTCTGATGTGGGGTGGGTTGATGGAGCCCCAGGAGTCTGGGGCTTCCACATGCAGCCCCAGGATCAGCCAAGCAGAGGAGGGAGCCTCTGGGCTCTGAGAGGGGAAGGGCGGGGGGGCAGAACCAGAGGAGGCATTTGGGGCTGATGGAGATGGTAAATCAGGGAAGGGTTCGAGCTTTCAGTCCAACAGCGCGGTGTCCCGAGGGCCATCACTGTCCAGCTGCACCAGAAGCTGCCCTGTGTCCTGGGAAGTGATGCCGAGGGCCCACAGGGATCTAACTCAGCATCTTGTGCCGGTCAAACACCGTCTTCCTCTGCTCCTGCACCTGCCTCTTCCAGCGCTGCTGGGCCCCTTCCACGCGCTCCAGCACTGTGTTGGCTCGGGCTCCAGCCGGGGCGGGCACTGCGGCCAAGGAGCGAGTGTCCTGCAAGGCAAAGGGGCAGTGCAGGGCACCAGGGAATGCCAGGAGAGGGAGACAGCTGACTTGGGGAGAAAGGCACCAGGGAATGCCCAGCCCAGGAGAGGGAGGCAGCTGACTCAGGGAGAAACTACCACTGAAAGAGCAACTCAAGGCTTGAGTTGTCCTGAGGGAGAACCATCTTTCCAGAGCTCCTCAACACCAGCCCCTCAACTCCTTGCTCTTGGGAACCACCCAAAGAAAAGTCCCCAGGAGAGGAGCTGCACTAAGGCTAAAGCTCTGCTGGAAATCCACTGCTTACAGTATGCAAGGGGCCACAGTGAACCACATCACCCCCTGGAACTGAGCCAGAGATTGCTGTCGTGGATGGGCGTCCGTTGTGGCACATGAGCACCAAGGCCTGTCCAGAATCCATCACACTGGACTAAGATAAACCTCACCTAACACCAGGCATTTACAGTGTGCGCCTGGATCTAGCTCTGAATCATTGCTGTGGTGCAGGGAGCAAACCCACAATTTTAGGATCCAATTCATCTCCTGCAGGACCTCCATTTTCAGCAGAGGGTGGTAATGGAGGGACTGGGCACACTGGAGCAGCTACTCCTCACTTATATCACAGTATGAAAGAATTGAGCCAAATACTTTATACTTAAAATGTAAATAAGACAGTCTGATCCAGTGCTAAAATTGCAGGAATTTCATGCAGCAAGAAATTTGTCCTCCCCCAAAATGTGTGTGTGTGTGTGAGAGAGACAGAGAGGCTCTCTCTTTTCTGCTAGGTCCTGATCTTTCTGACCAAGATTTGTATGCCAGTGTTCCACAGAAAGATGGGATTTGAATGAAATGCTGCTCTGGGGAGAAGCACAAGGAACAACAGCCTGGATACAAGAGGGCCCAACCTCAGAGCAGGGTCAAACAGCCCCTCGAGGCTGCTCTTTGACGTGTTTGTAAGATGTTCCAGCAAATACTGAAGCCCATCCTTCCCTGGAAGCTCAGCACCAAGTAACTCCAGCTGGGACACTGCACAAACAGGATCCGTTTGAGTTCTGGTTCCATCTAGACAAACATACCAAATTCAGGCCACTTGGGACTAAGTCACCCCCTGCCACAGAGGACAGGTTAGGGTTAGAACTTTGAGAACTTTTAAGGTTAGAACTTTGATTATTCCCTGTGCTTCTGCATGACTTGCACAGATTTGATTTAAGTATTCACCTGTGTAGGTGCCCACAAAGCAGCAGTGCTTCACTGGATCAGACAGGAGGTCACTGTTTCCCTGTCACCCCCTCTCTTGTATCCTGTCTGCACCATGACCAGAGCCACCCACGTGCCCCTTGCAGCCCTCACCTCGCTCTCCTCCTCGTTGTGCAGGGGTTGGGTGTAGGGGTCGGGCTTGCGGATCAGGGGGTCCACGAGCACCAGGAACGCCATGTACAGCAGCAGGGCCCCCACCACCGATAGGTAGATGATGATGATCACCTGGAAAGGAGCACAAGGGAGAGGATCAGCACCCTGGGTAAGAAGCACCACAGAGGTCAGAAAGGTCCTTTGCAGCTGCCTCTGATGTTAGATCTCTTCTCCTGTTCTCATTTTGCTCACAAGAAGGTCTCTTGCCCTTGCCAGGGGCTGATGATGTGCTGTCACTGCACAGGCTGTGCTGAACATCCTTACAGTGCCAGGTCAGGGCATGTGCTGCACGTGAGAGGACACCAACGAGATGGGTCCCTGCTCAGACGTGCTTGGCACTGTCAAATCCCCAGCAAGACGACTCTTCTTGCAGCTCCTCACAGCCAGGAGCATTCCTGACTCAGACACAGAAATCACAGAATCAGTTAGGTGAGAAAAGACCTCTGAGTCCTGTGACCAATCCCCACCTTGTTACCCAGCCCAGAGCACCGAGTGCCACATCCACTAATTCCTTGGACACCTCCAAGGACAGTGACTCCACCACCTCCCTGGGCAGCCCCTTCCAACATGTAATCACCCTTTCTGTGAACAATTTCTTCCTAATGTCCAACTTAAACCTCCCCTGGTGCAGCTTAAGACAAGTCCTCTTGTCCTGTTACTGGTTGTCTGGGAGCAGAGCCCAATCCCCTCCTGGCTCCAACCTCCTTCCAGGGAGTGAGCTCCTGGCACTGCCACAGTGTACCCACTGTGACAGTTTGATTTTCTCTTTCTGGGCTCTTCTGCAGGAACCCATGAGTGCAGCAGTGCCTGGGCTGGCGTGGCATGGCCAGGAGAAGGAGCCAGGCACGGGGAGAGAGCTGGCCTTACCTTGATGGTGGTGGTGCTGCGCTCCTCGTACTTGCACTCACACAGCAGGCAGTAGGCCTCCACGTCATTCCCAGGCACTGGCATGGGCTCCACCACGTGCAGGCAGTTGCTGCAGCACAAACAAACCAAGATCAGCAGCAGGACAAGGTGAAGGTGAAACCAGTGCTCTGTGGAAGGACACTGGGGTGACATTTTTGTGTGTCCCAGCTCTCCTTTCAGGCTGATAACACTGATCCGGTTTTAAGAGCTCCTCTCACAGCTCAGCTGGTCCTGGGATAGATGTTCAAGTGCCTTTTTCAGGGATCCAATCCAGGTGAGGGGGACTGGAGGGTACACCTTACATCTTCCAAGAGCCATGGGTTAAGAAGTCATCCCAGATTCCTCAATTTCTGTTTAAAAACTGTCCCTGGCCTGGGTTGAACATCATCCACCAAGCTCCCTCAGCAAACACACAGGCAGGGAATCACCGCCTTAGCACCAGCTGGCAACTCTGGAGCATTGGTGGCTTTCATGGACTGACCCCCCAGGCTTCAAGCCCAACTCACCAGTCCTTCTGGGACACATTTTTGTTGTAGATGTGCCCGCTGATGTTCCGGTATGGGGGGCAGATGCACTTGCAGCGAATGTCCTCGGAGCTCTGCGGGGGCAGAGGAGCCAGTGAGGGAGAGAACACCCAGTTCTGCCACCCTCACCACCCCAGGCTGGGATAGGCTGAACATCCTCTGGGACAGAGAACACTCCATCCCAGAGAACACTTCCCCCCACTTCCCTTCCTCCTGCACTTTGACATCAGTACCTTCCCAGGTTTAACATGTCCCAGAGCACCTCGGCCAGTTCCAGCACCTCCAGGTGCTTTTGGAACCAATTTTAAAATGCAAACTCCAAAGCCCAGCAGAAGGCAGGGCAGGGGCCACTGTCACACACAGTCACAGCCCTGCACAGTAAACACACCACAAATACACTCCTTATCTTTGCAAACATCCCCAGCTGCTTCTCTGCTGTGCCCCTCCCAGTGTTGCCCGACGCTGTCACCCACCTTGCTGGCCTGTGCTGGGGGGCACAGGAGGCAGCCCAGCAGCACCAGCAGCACCAGGGGGCTCACAGAATTCCGGGAGCACTGGGCAAACATCGTGGGAGCCTGAGGAAACAAAAACTCACATCCAGGATGGAGGATCTCATCTGAACGCAGCCACAATGAGGGAGGCCAAGCTTTTTTTTTTGGCCTCAGTGTTGCCCAGGAAGGATTTTATCCCTGGATCACAGCTGATGCCAGCCAGAAACTCCTGGGAACGCTTTACACAGATCCCAAGAAACACTCCTCTCTGAAGAGCTTCCTTACCCCCTAGAAACACACATCCAAACTACCCCAGCCCCACAAAAACATTCCTGATTTCCTTACAATTTGACTTGCACAAAACCTCCTGCTCCTCTCTTGCTGCTGTGGAGCCCTGCAACAGGTATTTTACTGCTGATAGTTGTGCTCAGTAAAAAATACAGAAGCAGGAAAACCATGGAGCAAGAGTGACCTAAAGATACAGAACCAGGAAAACCACCGAGTGGTTTACAAGTGACCTTGCATGACACTGGGCCCTCACTGCTGTCCTAAAGCTAAATACACTTTTGTGTCATGAAAGTTAAATCACTCACCTTCTGATACTCAAAAGTTTTGCTGCTGAAGTGTTATTTGCCTGACATGAGCCATGAGCCATGGGAAAGGGGTGGAATATTCCTAAGTATTCCAAACTGATTCCCAAACCTCCTTTATCCCAAGATACTTGTTCAGTAAATCCTGATTTTACATTCATTCCAAGCTGGCAGCTTGATAAATTCATTAATCACAGAACCCCAGAATGGTTTGGGTTGGAAGGGACCTTAAGGATCGTCTCATTCCAGCCCCTGTGAGCAAGGATAAAGCTGTTCCAGAGACGTGTGTTTGCACAAGTCCTTAAGAATATTAATTTCTCTGCACAAGGCCAAGCTGGCCTTGCCCAGGCTGGTGTTCACCCTCAGGGGCAGAAAAGGAAGAGCAGGTTTTGGGGACCTTGGGACAGCGCAGAAAAGCCACTTCAGCAGAGCTTTACTCGGGGAAGGGAATTAACACTTTCATTAATCAGCTCCACGTTAATCCCACAGCTCTCTCCAGGTACTTCTACTCCATCATGATTCCATTGGGATTTACATCACTGCAAAATTTGTTGCTTTATCTTATGTCAACAATATAAACTCATATAATGGATTACCAACACTAAATTCCTTTCTTCTTTATCTAAACAAAACACCAGCCACTTCTAACAAGCTGGCCTGCCAAGATCAACCAAAATGCATTCCAGTCCTATCACCTCAGCCCAGGATTTATTAACCCTTTGCACCAGAGTTTCAACAATCTCCTCAAACAATGGCCCTTTCCTGGCAGACTCCCCTGCACATCAGGGGTTCAGATTCTCACCAAAAACCTGGGGAACAGGACTGAGCTGAGCTGCATGTCCCCCACTGTAAGTGGGTTTGCACTTTGGTTTGAATTTTTAACTCAACAGTGGGGCAGGTGCCTGGAATTGAGTTTTAGCCTCTCAGCTGAATTCAGAACATCTGGATAATTCATAAATGCCATTTTAATAAAAGCAGGGGAAAACTTGTGATCTGTTCTACCCTAAATAAAAACTCCAAATGGCACCTGGACAGAGTCCACCCACCGTGAACTGTAAAACACCCACGGCCACACAAAGGATAATTTATCTGTGGTTCTTTCTAAGTCTGACAGCAAAGGGGCATGTGCACGCGTGCCTTAAAGCTACTGTGTTCCAGACAGTCAGCCCAGCCCACAGCACACATCTGTCCAAAAGGAGATGGGTGGTTAAGGTGAAGGGCCAGGGGCTGTAACTGAGCGTGGCAGCCTCCAGGAATGAACCCCTAGAATGAACCCACACCCACCCCGTGCTCCTTCTCCCAGCAACCTCCTCACCCCGAACATCCCCATCCCTGGAAGTGTCCAAGGCCAGGTTGGACTGGGCGTGGAGCACCTCGGTCTATGGAAGGTGTCCCTGCCCAGGGCAGGGGGGTGGCACTAAAGCTCACCGGATGAGCTTTAGGGTCCCTCCCAACCCGAACCACTCTGGGATGATTCTGTGAACGTCACCCGGAGCACTTCTAAGACTACGGTGGATCCGGCCCCCTTTTCCACCATCTGTGCTCGAACCACCCCCGACACCGACCGGGTTCCCCTCAGTTCCCACCGAAGGCCCGCGGATGCTCAGCCCTCCAGGGGCTCCCACAGCCTGGCCTCCTGGGATGCCTATGGTGATCCAGGCCGGCCCCCTCGCCGAGCTCCCCGGTAGCCCCGGAGGGTGAAGCGGAGCGGGGCCGTGAGGGGCCGTGAGGGGCCGCTCCCCGCCCCGCCCGCCCGAGCGCGGCCCCCCGGCCGTACCTGCCCCTCACACGGCCCGCGCCGCCGCCACAGCCCGGCCCCGCCCTGCGAGCCCCGCCCCCTCCCTGCCATCCCATTGGCTGCCGTGCGTGACGCTCCGTGACAGGCAGTAGCCCTGGCCAATAGAAAGGCAGAGGATGCTGCCGGGTGCTGGGGGTGTGTGCGCGCTGCCTTCGCGCCCCGCAGAGCTGAGGGGACGGGGCAGGGGACGGGGCAGGGTGAAGGGGCTCGGGCCGTGGTCGGGCGGCGTTCGGCGGACGTGGCGCGGGCAGCTCCCGCTGGGCTTCCGTCGTGGGGCTGGGCCGCCCCGTCCTGGGATTGAGCCGCGGGACAACCCCGCTCTCCCCTCACAGCCCCATTTTCCTTCACAGCCTCGGGCTCTCCCCTCGCACCCCGTTCCCTCTCAACAGTCTCGTTCTCCCCTTAGCCACTCGCTCTCCCCTCACACCCTCGCTCTCCCCTCACAGTCCTGCTTCTCTTCCACTTCCCGTTCCGCTGTCACAACCCGCTTTCCCGTCACGGCCCCAATCTCCCTTTACAGCCTCGGGCTCTCACCTCAGAGCCCCATTTCCTCTCATAGCGCCATTCCCTCACACCCCGTTCTCCCCTCACATCCTGTTCCCTCTCAGCCACTGCTCTCCCCTCACACCGATGGTGCTGCTGTTGTGCCCATCAGAGGGGAAAGCCCGGGCCGCAGTGGTGCCCTTGGTTATGTTTTTGGCTGATTTATGCTTATAGATGATATTGGTGATCCTCCAGGCTCAAAGGCTGCAGTCCTGCCATCAAGCTCTTGTATTACGAGACCAGTGACTCATTTAGTCCTGTCCTTGTTCCAGAAGAAATACTGGGCCGTTCCAAGGCCATGGGGTCTTGTGTTTGCCCAAAAAGAACATTCCTGAGAGATCTGGCTCTAGAAATATCTCAGTTTTACCCCATTTTCTGTGTTTGCACCTTTCAGGTGTGAAATACCTTCATCCTTGGACCTGCTCCAGTGGCGGCTCCCTGGGAGGCTCCGCTCTGCAATGGAGGGGTCGAGGTGATTCTCTGGCATTTTGCTGGTTTACCTGGTGTAGATTTACCTGGTCTGTGATGCTGGATAAAGTCAGGATCTAATTCTTTTTCAGGTAAAAAAATCCACTGATAGAAAAAGGGACCCAAACTTCTGGTTTAACCTCTAGAAACAGAATCGATTAGGTTGGAAAAGACCTCCAAGTTCATTGAGTCCAACCTGTGACCGATCACCACCTGGTCAAATAGACCAGAGCACTGAGTGCCACGTCCAATCGTTCCTTGGACACCTCCAGGGGTGGTAACTCCATCACCTCTCTGGGCAACCCCTTCCTAAGTTTAACAACCCTTTCCAGGAGGAAATTCCTCCTGATGTCCGACCTGAACCTCCCCTGGTGCAGTTTGAGGCTGTTTCCTCTTGTCCTGTCCCTTGTTCCCCCGGAGCAGAGCCCGATTTCCCCTGGCTCTCCATTCCTGTCAGGGAGTTGGAGAGATACATTCAGCCAAAAATACATGGGAATCAAGGGGGAATGTCTATCTGGGAGATAGTTTTGTGTGTCTGATAGTTTTAACTTTATAAAAGAATAAATGAGATTGTTGTAGGGTTTGTAGAATGTACTTGCTGTGGAGACTGCCAGGCTTTAAAACTGCTCCCTGCTCCCACTATGGGAATTGCCAGTGTAAAAGTGTTTTCATAGAATCCCAGAATGGTTTGAGTTGGAAGGGACCTTATAGCTCATCCCGTTCCACCCCTGCCATGGGCAGGGACACCTTCCACTATCCCACTATCCTAAGCCCCGTCCAGCCTGGCCTTGGACACTTCCAGGGATGGGGCACCCAGAACTTCTCTGGGCAACCTGTGCCAGGGCCTCACCACCCTCAAAGGGAAGAATTTCTTCCCAATATCACATCTGACCCTGCTCTGTGGCAGTGGGAAACCATTTCCCCTTGTCCTGTCACTACATGCTCTTGTAAATAATAGTGTAAATAGTTTTCTCACCCCATTGCTGTAATGTGTAAAATCCTGGCTCTGCCACGGCTGCATTCCCTCCCCACTCACTGGAGCCTGTACGGGACTGTGGCCTAAGTCAGCTGGACTGATCCAAGGAAATATTCCATGAGAATAATCCTGGGTATTAGATGCACAAAGGACCTCTAATTCCTTCCTCCTACTCCAGCGCTGATGAGCGGAAGAACCTCTTTGGTTCTAACTCAGAGATGTCCCTTCAGAGCAGAGCCCTGGGCCTGGCCAGGCACAGTCAGTGCTGTGACAGGACTAAGTTTGTGCAGGTGTAAAAGCCACATGACCACAGGGATTTTCTGTTACTGACTTTCATCAGACTGGTGAGGAGGTATTTTTATCTCCTCTGACATGCTTGCTGTCACAGCAATCTGTTCTTCTGTGTTCTCTTGCAGCCCAAAGGTACCTACCACTGCTTCTTGTGGGACTGGAGGAGGCTAAATTGGCACCTGGAGGAAGCAGCTGAACTGGTGACAAGACACTGGAAAATGCCCTTGGAGGAAGCAAAGAAATGGCCCAGTCAGCTGAGAGACCATGTGCAGAGATCAGTTTTTTTAGATGATCTTTAGCCTTAAAAATGGACCCAGCCAGTACAAGATAAGCTTGAAAGTTGCATTTCAGTTCAAATCCCTTTTCCAAGAGACTGTTTTCCAATTCCTTGGATGGAAGGGTGAGCTGCATGTGCATTTCCTCCATAGTGATGGGAGAGAGATCTCACATGCTCCTCCAGGAGACCATTTCCTGTTCCCTTCCTTGTGGTTTTCCTCCTGCCCAGAAGCCTTTTTGCCTGTCCCAGATAACTGGGATGCAGCAGGCTCAGTTATCTTCTGGAAGTCATCCCTGTCACTGTTTTTAAAGCCCAGCAGCAGTGGCAAAAGAGAATTTGCCTGGAGGGAGCAAGAATTGCTGCTTTATTTCTCCCTGCCTGTTGCTCAGCTTTGTGCTCGTTCCCAAGTGTTTCGTGTTTCCTGAATTTATTGGTGTGTCTAATGCAGGTCCCTTCAAAAACCTCTCCAACAGTAGGTCCTGAATCCTTACTGAATTCCCAGTAATTTGGGCTGACTTTAGCCACTGACCTGCAGGGATCTGGGACTAACACAGTGGTCTGGCAAGAGGCTTCATCCTACTTTGGAGACCTTGAGATCAGCAATGGTGTTGTGGGGCTGTTCATTCCCCATTTCTGCCTTTGCTGGCAGCAGACAGGTGAGAGGTGCCTCAGAGGAGCCTCCCATGGGCCAGTGTCCTGAGAGCAGAGGCCAAACCAAATTCCTGTGGCATGGAGGGAAAGGGAATTGCAGATCAGCACAGGAAACAAAGAAACACAAACGTGCAAAAGAGCAGAAGGACATCAGGTGTCGCTGTTAATGCCCTGAGCTGTCCCTGTCCCCGTACCCATGTAATGAGGCCTTGCTGGCACTTGTGGTGTCAGTGCCTGAAGGACAGGTGACATTTTTGTTAACAAGGCTGAGGACACACAGGAACAGCTTGTCCTTGTTCTCCGTGGACACGGGTGTGGGTGACAGCGCTGCAAACCTTCCGGCACAGCGCTGGGCTCACATCACCTGCCACGTATTTCAAGGGCAACTTATTTTAAATTGTGAACTCACAGACTGACTTGTAAATGTTCTAGAAATACATCCTGCCATTATAAAAACATCCTATAATTCAGGGAGGAGGCATTTCATTCTTTACCTGCAACAAGATGATCTGGTCTTTGTATTAAGAGCAAAATGAAATGCTTTGAGAACTGTAAACAGACAAAAGAAGATTCAAAGGTTCTTGGGCATTGGGCCAACCTACAGGGCTCTTCCTTTGCAGGGTGGTTGGTTAGACCAAGGAACAGCAATTCTGTTTTGGCTGCCAGCTCCCTTACAACCCCAAGGAAGTGGTTTCTGGTGTTGTGCCTCAGTTTCCTCAGTCAAATGGTCCTCAGCAGTGCTGTGAGGGTGGCTGAAGAGCTTGTGAGGATCACAAGACATGCTTGTGAGGGTGAGTTCTTGAGGGCTCCTCTCAACATGAAAGACCTGATGGTCTTAGAAAGCCGTGTAGAGGCCTCATGGAGGTTTGTGAGCACAACAAATCCTGTCAGTCACAGGCAGGAGCAGCTGGTGTGTGCGTGGGAGTTGACAGAAGATGTGGCTCTCCCAGCACGCTGGACTCTGATAACCTGGGAGATCCAGTATCACTGTGTGTGTCACAGTGTCACTATGTGTCCTTGGGTCATGCACAGACAGGATGGTGTTGTGAAGGACCTTCTGTCAACCGTGACCGTCCCTGGGATAGGAACAGAACAACCATTGATGAACCAGCCATGGAGGATAAATCCGGACCATGGAACTTGGTGCTGGGTTTGTGGCTCACAGCTGTGCAGCAGTCGAGTTGTGATGGTGAGGAGACCTGGGGTGGGGAGGGGAAAACAATCCAGACATGGCTGATGCCCCAAAGGGCTCCACTTGTGCTTCTCCACCTTAGCTGTGTTTAACCATTTCATAGGCTGCTTCTGCCCCTACACTGCAGACCATTGCTGATCTAAATAATCACAAATTATGTGCCACAGGAGGTTTAGGTTGGACATTAGGAAGAATTTATTCACAGCAAGGGTGATTAGATGTTGGAACCAGGGAGGTGGTGGAGTCACTGTCCCTGGAGGTGTTTAAGACTGGCCATGACTCTCGGTGCTCTGGTCTAGTTGACACGATGGTGTTTGGTCACAGGTTGGACTCCATGATCTCAGAGATCTTCTCCAACCCAGCTGGTCCGGGGATTCTGTGAAACGGGAGGGCTGAGGAGAGAGGCCTTGTCTGAGTTCAGCCAAGGCCCTGCAGTGCTGAGAGCAAAGGAGAGAGTGGCTGCACCCCAGGGCACGCTCTGGCCATGGGTCCACACTGCTTCCCTCTGCCTGAGCTCTCTATGCTTTCCCAAGTAAACAGAGGCCTCATTAGAGGGAAAAGGGAATTCTCTGGTGCCACAGGTATTTTTTCAAGAGCCGATGCTCTGTCCTGGAGTATGGGAGCCTGTTGTGGTGCAGCCCTGCTGAACTA